CCCCCCCCCCGCCAATTTAGTACAATTGCAGAAAGTTGCTTTCACAGGAAGGAAGGACCAAAATAGGTAAATAGGTAAACAGGGCTATAGACAACAGAAGGGCAAAGTTGCCTAGAGCAGAAGTAATTAGCAAAAGAAAGGTGCCTTGTTGACCCTGAGGTAGCATGCTCTGTCTTTCTTGTCCCCTAGGCAAGTTTAGGTAAACAAAGGTGGTGCCTCATGCCTGCTGTAAACAACCATCTGCCCAGTACCAGGATTTTGTTTTGTATTGACCCAACACCTCATATCTTCAGAGCACTCTTTCCCCCAAGCCCATGAGTTAATGTTCATGGTTTCATTGTCTCTTTGTGCATGTCCATCACACTTATAAGCCTTCTGATCCTAATAAAAATGGAGCAAGGACCCTTACTCTAGGGGCTGTTGTCTCCTCCTAGACATTAGCCTCTCCTACATTTCAATCCTATGTCCGTTCTCTTGATGGACAAGAGAGAACCCCACACTCAGAGTCTACGACAGCCAGAATTTCTGAAATAATGCACAAACTTCCTCTGATACCCTCCATTTCAAATCTGTGAAACTTTCATACACGAAACAGGAGACTTTGATTGTAGAACTTTGGCATATTGTAATTCCTGAAAAACAAAGAAATGCTGAACAATCTGTCAAAGTACTAATGAAAATACTTCATTGTGTTACACGGTGGTTAAAATCATCTGGATATAGATGTTTTGGATTCAAGTCTTGGTTTGTTCAGTTTCTCATTTTTTGACCCATGAAAAGTCACTTAATATATCGAATCTGCAAATCTGATTTTAAAAAAAGAGAAGAACAGTAATAATATATCTATCTTAGTACTTTTGTGAGTTTTAAGAGTTCATCCATGTAAAATTTCAAGAACAGTGCTTTGCTAATGGTAAGAACTCAAAAAAGTTAATGTTCAATTATAATGTATAAAACACAGACGAAATAAAATGCAGTGTAGGTTCCTTGATATTCAGTTTTTCTAGTTATGTTTATTTTGTTCCTTCATTCATACACTGATAAAATTATTCATTTATTTTTCAAGTCATTTTGAATTGTCGTATCAATAAGCACAATAGCATGCACATAATAAGCAGTTTATGAAATTAAGTATGTATGACTAAATGTATCAGTTAAGCAATTAGAAATGGATTCATGCTCACTAACTCACTGTTATTCAGGATATGTTTGCTGCTCTATACATCTTTTTGATCACCTTAACTATGTATTTAACTATTAAAAAATAATAAAAGATTTCAATCTACAGCTATAAGAACATCAGAGAACTCTAAGTGAGATGATTAAATACATGTTATTGTTATTTATTGTTATTTATTGCTAATTTTAGTTATTATGAATAATAATGCCAGGCACAGTAAAGGAAATCACATCATAGCCAAAAAACGTGAAAATCCAATAAATGACATCCAGAGTTAAAGAAAAATGCTGGCAGAAAACAAATACAAACAATAAGCGGAAAATATGCAAATAGAAACCATCCATCTCAATGACTTCTTTAAAGTACTGAAAGGGGAAGAAAAAAACTGTCTACCTAGAATCTTATCACAAGCAAAAACATATTTCAAAAAAAAAGTTTAGGGGCACCTGGGTGGCTCAGTCGGTTAAGCGGCCGACTTCGGCTCAGGTCATGATCTCGCCGTCCGTGAGTTCGAGCCCCGCGTCGGGCTCTGTGCTGACAGCTCAGAGCCTGGAGCCTGTTTCAGATTCTGTGTCTCCCTCTCTCTGACCCTCCCCCGTTCATGCTCTCTCTCTGTCTCAAAAATAAATAAACGTTAAAAAAAAAATTAAAAAAAAAAAGTTTAAAAACTTCATTGTCAGAAAAGCAAACCATGAGAGAATATAATTTCAGTTATCAGTGACTCAAGAAAAGGTAAAGAAAATCCCTAAGACCTTCATTTGGACATGAGACACTTGCATCTACTAGACATGAGTAATGCTGAAGATAATATTAAAAGAGATTAAGTATAAAATATTTTTTAATTTTAGTTGCTCTGCAAGATAAGGGACTGTCTAAAGTGAAAATAGTATACAAAATAAAATGATGGACTATGTTACAGGAGATGATAGGTATTTAAACTCTATATAAAGTGGTAGTATAACATAATCATTTATAAATAATTTGAAAGTTGAATGTGATAAATAATAACATATATATATTAACCTAAAGATAGCCATTTAAAAAAGAAAAGGTTAAAACTAATTAGTAATGATGGAAATAATGTAGAATCTTTTAAAAAATACTTTAATAAGCCAGAAAAATGCAGAATAATAAGAACAAGGAACAGATGGAATAAAGAAGAACAAATAACAATATAGGAGGTTTAAAGTGAGCCATATGAGGAGCACCTGGATGTCTCAGTCGGTTAAGTGTCTGACTTTGGCTCAGGTCATGATCTCATGGCTCGTGGGTTCAAGCCCTGCATAGGGTTCTGTCTTGACAGCTCGGAGCTGGAGCTTCCTTCAGATTCTGTGTCTCCCTCTTCCTCTGTACCTCACCTGCTCACACTCTGTCTCTCTCTCCTTCAAAAATAAATAAACATTAAGAAAAATGAGCCATATGAATAATTACAGTAAATGTAAATAATCTAAATACTCCAAGCAGAGCTTTTCAAATTAGATAAATAACAAGTACCACCTATGTATTATCAAAGGAAGTCCTAGGTTAAAAGATTGACATAGATTCAAAGAAATCATCAAGAAGATATAAGAATTTAGAATATGTGTACATAAATTGTAAGTTCAAAAAGTAGCAAAAACCATTAACATTGAAAAGAAAAATGTATTTGGGACCTCCATATTTCTCTTTCAGTAATTGATAAAACAAATAGACAAAAAATATTAAATAATTTAACCTAATTGCAATTTATAGGACACTTCATCAAACAACAGCAGAATTTCAAGGGTCTTTGGAACATTTAATAATGTAGGCCATATTCTGGCAAAAAAGAAGTGTTGACAAACTTAAATTAAACTGTATATTTTCTGACAACATAACATTAAATTAAAACTGATAACAGAAGGGTATCTGAAAAATACCCAAATATAGTAAAACCTTGGTTTGCAAGCATAATTCATTCCAGAAACATACTTGTAATCCAAAGCACTTGTATATCAAAGCGAATTTCCCCATAAGAAATAATGGAAACTCAGATGATTTGTTCCACAACCCAAAATTATTCATATACAAATGATTACAATACTGTAATATAATACATAATAATAAAATACAAAATATTAAGAAAAATAAACAAATTAACATGCACTTACCTTTGAAAATCTTCGTGGCTGATGTGAGGGAGACATAAGAGAGGAGGGTTATTATGTAGGATAACTTTCACTTTCATAACAGAAACATTGCTATCTATTGGCTCAATGGAATCTTTTTCTTTCCCTGCAATTTTAGTAAGGAACTATCCAATGACAGCTGCTTTTGCCTCCTTTGAGGGTTTCACAGAAATGTGACATTGCATTGTGGTTAAACAGATTCATCACTCGCACTGCTTCGGCCTTATTAGGGTGGTGTTTTCTACAAAATTTTGTGCTGTTTCCCACATTTTACACTTCTCCTAATCTCATTTGAAGTGAGGGATTCCTCCACTTTTTTCTCCTCCTCTTCTGCAGAGGACATGCATATGTAGGCTTCTTATAAAATCTTGCAATCTTGGTCACTTACATACCTCATTCGTGCTTCTCAAGGATTTATTTCCTTCTTAACTGCCACCATAATCATCTTTTATCATCTTTCTTTTCAACCTTTTTCTGCATGGGGTCCGTTGTATAAGTTCATATGGATGTTTACTACATGTACAGTACTAATAAACTCTTGTCATATGCTATATTTAATGTAACTGTCAATAAGGCAGCAAAAAATCTCTATCTGCAGGTAGCCTGACCTAGAAAGAAGCAAAGGATTCCAAAGCTTACTCTTGTATGAAAAAGCAAAGGACTGTCCATAGATGCTTTGAAGTGACAAAAATACACTAGTGCCAGTTGTGGGCACTTTTCAACGTTCTGAAAAAATCACTGATTTCTGCTAAATACTGTGGCCTGAGACTGAGCATCCAAGCATGGAAGACGATCACCCACAATCTCGCAGTGAGAAAGACAGAGAGAGAGAGAGAGAGAGAGAGACAGAAAGGCCATGGGCTGTGATGTTCAGCATCACATACTACTCATATTGAAAGATTGCTCATTTATCAAGTTAAAAATTATTAGAAACGTTTGCTTGTCTTGTGGCACACTCACAAAACAAGTTACTCCTAATCCAAGGTTTTACTGTATTTGGAAATTAAATGACATTTTTCCAAATAACCTATTGGACAAAGAAAAAATCAAGAGAGAAATCAGACAATAGTTTGAGTGGTAATGAAAAAAAAGAAGTATTTTTTTCGGAATTCAGTTTACTAAGAGAAATTTGTATCATTAATTCAATTTACTAGAAAACAAGATAGGTTTCAAACCAAAAATCTGAGATCCCAATTAAAAATACTCGCAAATTAATAGCAAAATTAGCTGAATATCTGCTGAACGTAGTAAGTAATAAAGATCAGAAATTAGAAAGACCAATAGCTTATTCTCCATAAAGATCAAGAAAAAAATGATAAAAGACATTTTAAGAATGTAAGAGGGGGGCAACTTGGTGGCTCAGTCTGTTAAGCATCTGACTTCGGCTCAGGTCATGATCTCGTGGTTCCTGAGTTCAAGCCCCACATTGGGTGAGCGTGAGGCCCACTTCAGGTGAGCACAAGCCCCTCTTCCTGCACCACACTCTCTCTCCCTCTCCCTCTGCCCCTCACTCACTTGTACTCTCTCTTTCTCTCAAAAAAAAAAAAGAAAGAAAGAAAAAGAAAAGAAAAGAAAAGAAAAGAAAAGAAAAGAAAAGAGAAAAGAAGATATAAGAGGGAAGGTACAGATCATTAATATCAGGAGTAAAATAGAGGACATCATTATAGATCCTACATATATTAAAAAGAGATATGCCCATATAAATGATCATGTGGATGAAATGGTCAGGTGATTTGCAAAATACAAAGTACTTTATAAAGCTCACTCATGAAAGGAGATAAATTGAAATGTATCCATCTTTTAAATAAATTGAATCCCTGGTTAAAAACCTCCTCCCAAAAGAAAACTCTAGTCCCAAATATCTTGTGAATGCTAGAAAATATTTAGGGGTGCCTGGGTGGCTCAGTCGGTTGAGCATCCGACTTCGGCTCAGGTCACGATCTCGTGGTCCGTGAGTTCGAGCCCCGCGTCGGGCTCTGTGCTGACGGCTCAGAGCCTGGAGCCTGTTTCACATTCTGTGTCTCCCTCTCTCTCTGCCCCTCCCCCGTTCATGCTCTGTCTCTCTCTGTCTCAAAAATAAATAAACGTTAAAAAAAATTTATAAAAAAAAGAAAGAAAATATTTAAAGATGACTTAATTTCAATTCTGAAAGAACACTTAGAAAAAAGAGATAGGAGGGACCACTTAACACTCTTTATTATGAGGCCAGCATTACCCTGACATCAAAATTTAATAAAGATATTAAAAGACGTTAAAATTGCAGACCAATATTTTTCATGAGAATAAACAAATAAATATCTTTAAAATATTAGCAAATAGGGTCTCCTGGGGGGCTCAGTCAGTCAAGCATCTGACTTCGGCTCAGGTCATGATCTCATGATTTTTGAGTTCGAGCTCTGTGTTTTGGGCTCTGTGCTGACAACTCAGAGCCGGGGACCTACTTTGGATTCTGTGTCTCTGTCTCTGCCCTCCCCGCTCACACTTTGTCTCCCTCTCTCTCTCAAAAATAAACATTAAAAAATATATTTTTTAATATTAGCAAAAAATTTTCAGCAATAAGATAAAATATTTCCCTAATTTGATCAGGAAGAATTTATGCTAGGAATCAAAGTTTAGTTCAAAATTAAGAAAAAAATTATTGTACTTCACAATATTAACAAAGAAAATAAGGGGTGCCTGGGTGGCTCAGTCTGAGGAGTATATGACTCTTGATCTTGGGATAGTGAGTTCGAGCCTCACATTATGTGTAGAGATTACTTACATAAATTTAAAAAGAAAAAAGATACAAAAATGCTTATCACAGTAGATTTTTAAAAAAGCATCTGATAGGGGCGCCTGGGTGGCGCAGTCGGTTAAGCGTCCGACTTCAGCCAGGTCACGATCTCGCGGTCCATGAGTTCGAGCCCCGCATCAGGCTCTGGGCTGATGGCTCAGAGCCTGGAGCCTGTTTCCAATTCTGTGTCTCTCTCTCTCTCTGCCCCTCCCCCGTTCATGCTCTGTCTCTCTCTGTCCCAAAAATAAATAAACGTTGAAGAAAAAAAAAAAAGCATCTGACAGAATTGAATGTACAGTTATGATAAAAACTCTAAGATCCAAGGAATAAAAGTGTACTCCTTGAACTGGGAAAGAACATGTATGAAGTGTGAAAAAGACAAAAAACAAAGAAAATTTATACTGACTGGAAAGAAGTACAATTCTTTTTTTTTTAATAATTTAACTTTATTTTTTTATTTTTAAGATTTACATCCAAATTAGTATATACTGAAGCAATGATTTCAGGAGTAAATTCCTTATTGCCCCTTACCCATTTAGCCCATCCCCCCTCCCACAACCCCTCCAGCAACCCTCAGTTTGTTCTCCATAGTTATGAGTCTATTTGTTTTGTCCCCCTCCCTGTTTTTATATTATTTTTGATTCCTTCCCTTATGTTCATCTGTTTTGTCTCTCTTAAAGTCCTCATATGAGTGAAGTCATATGATTTTTGTCTTTCTCTGACTAATTTCACTTAGCATAATACCCTCCAATTCCATCCACGTAGTTGCAAATGGCAAGATTTCATTCTTTTTGATTGCCGGCTAATACTCCATTGTATATTTATACCACTTCTTCTTTATCCATTCATCCATTGATGGACATTTGGGCTCTTTCCATACTTTGGCTACTGTTGATAGTGCTGCTATAAACATGGGGGTGCATGTGTCCCTTCGAAACAGCACACCTGTAATCCCTTGGATAAATGCCTAGTAGTGTAATTGCTGGGTCATAGGGTAGTTCTATTTTTAGTTCCCCCATACTGTTTCCAGAGTGGCTGCACCAGTTTGCATTCCCACCAACAATGCAAAAGAGATCCTCTTTCTCCGCGTCCTCACCAACATGTGTTGTTGCCTGAGTCGTTAATGTTAGCCATTCTGACAGGTGTAAGGTGGTATCTCATTGTGGTTTTGATTTTTATTTCCCTGATGATGAGTGAAGTTGAGCATTTTTTCATGTGTGGGTTGGCCATCTGGATGTCTTCTTTGGAGAAGTGTCTACTCATGTCTTTTGCCCATTCTTCACTGGATTATTTGTTTTTTCGGTGTTGAGTTTGATAAATTCTTTGTAGATTTTGGATACTAACCCTTTATCTGATATGTCATTTGCAAATATCTTCTCCCATTCTGTCGGTTGCCTTTTAGTTTTGCTAATTGTTTCCTTCGCTGTGCAGAAGATTTTTATTTTGATGAGGTCCCAGTAGCTCATTTTTGCTTTTGATTCCCTTGCCTCTGGAGACATGTTGAGTAAAAAATTGCTGCGGGCAAGATCAAAGAGGTTTTTGCCTGCTTTCTCCTCGAGGATTTTGATGGCTTCCTGTCTTACATTGAGGTATTTCATTCACTTTGAGTTTATTTTTGTGTATGGTGTAAGAAAGCGGTCCAGGTTCTTTCTTCTACCTGTCGCTGTCCAGTTTTCCCAGCACCACTTGCTGAAGAGACTGTCTTTATTCCATTGGATATTCTTTCCTGCTTTGTCAAAGATGAGTTGGCCATACGTTTGTGGGTCCATTTCTGGGTTCTCTATTCTGTTCCATTGATCTGAGTGTCTGTTCCATACTGTCTTGATGATTACAGCTTTGTAGTATAGCTTGAGGTCTGGGATTGTGATGCCTCCTGCTTTGGTTTTCTTTTTCAAGATTGCTTTGGCTATTCGGGGTCTTTTCTGGTTCTGTACAAATTTTAGGATTATTTGTTCTAGCTCTGTGAAGTATGCTGGTGTTACTTTGATAGGGATTGCATTGAATATGTAGATTGCTTTGGGTAGTATCGACATTTGAACAATATTTGTTCTTCCTATCCAGGAGCATGGAATCTTTTTCCATTTTTTTTTTTTTTGTGTCTTCTTCAATTTCTTTCATAAGGTTTCTAGTTTTCAGTGTACAGATTTTTCACCTCTTTGGTTTGATTTATTCCTAGGTGTTTCATGGTTTCTGGTTCAACTGTAAATGGGATCAATTCCTTGATTTCTTTTTCTGTCCCTTCAATGTTGGTGTATAGCAAGGTAACCGATTCCTGTGTG